GGCTGCAGGCTGCCATCACATGAGTAACAGGTTCCTTAACATGAGCTCTCCTGAGTGATGCAAAGCGCATGCTGCTGCCTCTGTGAGAGTGTGTGTGCAAGATGAGAGCAGGTACAGCTGGATGTTGCTCTCACAGCAGCTCTGCTGCAGTTTGACTACAAAACACCGCCTCCCTCCTGCACAATCACTGAGCTGCTGTGTCTCTCTGGAGTCGTACTGGACCTGCTGATGTTCCCTGTGCAGACACGCAGAAAGGACTGTCCAGACAAAATCTATTCTTATATTACAATATTTATCATTATTATTTGTAATTAATTTAATTTAATTTAAAGTTTTTCAGATTTTTAACACAGTACAAGAGAATTGATCTATAATTCCGCACATATATGACAATTACACAGTCTGTGTCTAAACGTTACAGCTCCCAAAAGTAAAGTCAAATCAACTCAATCACCACCTGGTGGCTGATGGCAGTTTAGGTCAGAAATCCCACCTGCTCCATGTTAATGGATTGGACATGGACCAAACAACAAATTGAGTGTGCATCAGATACATTTTTCCCAAAGATGGTTTCTGTCATTCTAGGAATTTCTTTTTCTGGTAAACTAGGCTTTAATTCATTTTTTGTTGCTATAAAAACAAGGGTTAAAAAGCTGGACTGAAAGCTGAGACTGACTAGTGATTGGACGAGTGTATGACCTTGCTACAGCGACTCCATTCCCTGATCGCCATTGTGCAAAATGGCAGCGTTCATATCAAGGGTATCTGAGCTTCATTTCTGGAGAGTGGAAGTTGAGATGCCTGGATTGTGTGGATTCAATGGCTCATTACTACTTATTTTTACAGGATAAGTAGATTCCAGTCGGAGTTCATGCAACTGTTGACACAAGTTATGTAGGATACACACCCCCATGACAAATAGACTAAACTTCAAGTGTAAAATATGCAATACCCCTCTAAATGTACAAATGTTTTCTTCCTTTACTCCTTGAATTTACCTAATTATGCAAACTGAACAAGAATGACAGTGACACTGTGATTCTTTCCAGCGTGAAGGCAATACGCACCCTGGCCTTGAGGGGAAAATATAAGTGATTTTTGAGTGATGAACTGTTTGGCTGAGGGATAGCTAAAGAAAATGTAAAGGCTTCAAAGGTCCCCTATTTTACCTTCACAAATTTCTTTGCCTCTCCCATGCAGAAGACAACATCTAGAGGACATCTCACTGGTCCAACACCTCACTAACGCTGTTTTCAGACATGGACTCCACAAAATGTCTGGATAATTGGTTGCAGACACGATCCGGGCTTTGTCTTTCACATATGAAGAACGCAGCAGGGGATTGTCTGAGTCAGACACAGTCACAACAACAGGGAAAATCTCTGGTGCGTTCAGATGAAGGTTGGCGTCTGGGTAGAGCAGCAGGAGGCAAGACATGATGTACAAATTCCGCTGCGTAATTCACATTCATTTTGTTTGCAACACATCAACACTGGCGTTGGCCCTCATCTGCAAAACAGCTCTTGAATCCAGTTGTATTTCCAAGTTGATATAATCTTCGACATCATCTACGTGCATATTTCATCCTGAGATATTTGTATTCTTCTGCTCTCATGCTCATCGTGTGTTACAAACTTAATCGACATGCCCACTCGTTCACTGTGAATTTTCCAGATATTTTCCTACTGTATTCTCACAGGGTCTCATTCTGCAATTTTTTAAGATTCTTTACTTGGGGGCTGGCAGGAAAAACGTTCTCATACACAGCCCCTCTGGAAAATTCAGGAGAGTGTACAGAGTTCATTGCATGTCAAAAAGTAGTTTAAGACAATGAATGTTATTTTTAAAGTTGCGACATCAAGGTTTGTTGCACTTTCAGATAATTTCCTTTCCTCAAATAATACCTTTTAACTGTGTGTTCACCTCTCTGGGCCTTCACTAAAGGCTTTTTGGATGTGCTATCCACTGGCAGTGAAATCTGTTTCACTGAAAGATGCATTGCCAAGTGAGCCTCACACCTGAAAGATAACTCTATTCCAAGGATTCGCTGCTGCTTCTTCAGGAGCCAAACATCCGTCATGTCCACCAATGGACCTTCAGTTGGATGGAAAATTCAGATTGTTTAAATTTTCAGGTGTTCAGGATTTGCTTAGGCCAAAACGATTGATTTATTGCACTGTTATGGAACTGTACCTAAACAGTGGGTCACTAATGAATTCAAACTGATGTTATCACATTGAAGGATTTAACTGGTCACAGGCCAGAGCAAATTTGAATATCAAACTAACTGATCTTTTACAGATAAAACACTCAATTCCTCTAGGAGACAACGCCATGACTGGCTCATAGATAAAACAGTCCTGTGACAGACCAAAGCTGATTGGCTGTCAGCAACCAGTTCAAAGTGCTGGACCCCAGGCACCAGAGTGAACGGGGACCTCTGGGACCACTGCAGGAGCAAACACACACTTTCCATCACAGAGGTCATTAATTATGCACCACAGGTTCATATACACCTAGGGGAAACAACCTGTCCTCACATCATATCGCTCTCCTGTAAGGGCCAAATAAAAATGTCACAGTGCACCTTCATTTGAATAGGTATAGCTGGCAGCCACAGAGAGACAGACAGAGGTATCGTGGCCCCGGCAGCAAAGGAACTGGGTGCTCTGCAGCCCCAAGCACCAGCCCACTGACCCACATCTCTCCATCTCCACAGGATTCACATACACCATCCACATCTGTATGGAGGTCAGTGTGGTACCAGCATGCAAGAGGAAAAATAACATGTCTCCATGTGCCTGTTAGGACAGTGAGGAGAAAGATCATTTGTTTGTTTGTCTTATGAAGGCTCATTGTCCGCAGGATAAGAAAGCATGAGAAAATTATCACATGTATTTGCCAGACCTTAATATGTGATTATAAGGGGTTTGGATTAGGGGAGTATAATTTAAGACAATAATGTTCTATCATTGGGAAAGTTCTTTTTATAATGGGCCTAAAAGTAATAAATAATCAAATGATTTAATCTGACATCGACATAAATGTGTGCATTTCATCACACATCTATTTTACAATACCTTTATACACATAAGCCAACTACAAGGACCTTGAGTCCTTGATGAGTCCTAAGATGTACAACCACCTGTTTTGTGTGGCAAGTTTCTCAATTGTAAGTCATTAGAAAATACTTCGACATTATGGGAAATAAGCAAAATAATAAGCAAAATAAACCTCAACCCAATCAGACCTTCAATTACTGTTTGCCCTTGAGCTTGGTCTGGACAAAGTTCTGGAGATACGCATGGATTTGGCACTTCATATAGAGAAAAGAGACAGTGAACCATCCTGTCAGGTCGCAGAATACTTACGTTTCCCACTGGGGTTACTTTCCTGATCTTCTATTTCCTCTCTTTTCCTCGGGCTGCAGATTCAAAACCGTCAGCTGTGTCCCTTCATTGCGCCTTCGCGGGATAATGCCAGACATAAAGATGCACGCAGCTACAGGTTGCTTCGCACTCTTGAACGATGATGTGATCAGGCTACGGAAGACTCCCGGAGATAACACTTCACTTTACGGGAGAGAAAATCTCAGTAGATCCCAGAGACTGGCCTGTTGCTGGTGCGCAATCCATATAGCACCGCGCCAAAGTTGTCAACACGGCGCGTGATTACCGGCGTCGCGCCTCCGGAGCTGCGCACAGCGGAGCAGGCAGCGTTGGAGACCGGGAGCTGCCGCAGCTGCATGGGGCTGTGAGTCGAAGAAACTCTAAGATGAGAAGCTACGGTCTCCTCATCGGCTCCAGATGAAGTGGGAGGGAAACAGCGGGGTACCGGGTGTCGTGTCCGTGATGCAATGCGGGTATGGTGTCAGTGCCATGGCCCGCAGTTTTCTCCTTGTGTGCAGAAATCCAGGCGCTCCGGTCATTATCTGCGGAGCCGCGGCGCGCATTCGTCTTAATTACCGGCGGTCGGGATTGTCTGCAGAGATAGGTGCAGGCTTTGAGGGAAGAAAACAGAACACGTGTTTAGTGTTCATGCTCTCCTCGTTTCTCTGCATCTCTCCCCTTCTCTCCCTCTCCTTGAATGTGACAGACACACACACTCACACCCTTTAAGGTCTATTATTGGGCGCCATGCGTCTTGATCATGCATGGCACACGTAAACAGCTTTGGCGCAAATTGAGGAGAGCAGCGGCTCAGTCATGTCCAGGCTGGGGGATGGAGGTGAGCACGTGTGTCTTAAATGATGATGGATGCTGCATTCCCCTATGTTTTCTCTTTTCCTTGTCTTTGAAACCCCCCCCTCATGCCAATTGAATTGGTGCGTCACCACGTCCTCCAGCTGCGGCCCCCTGGCATTACACCCTCGTGGATGATTTCATGTATCCGGGTATGGATCCTCACTTCTCCTCCTGGTTGATAAATAGTATAAGGTAAAGCAGTAAGGCTATTACACTAATGGATTATACCAGACAAATAGACAATACAGCTTGCTCAAAATTTGAGTCTAATTATTAAAACAAAAGGTTCCAAAATAAATATCCAGGATGGAACTATTGTTAAGATTAAGATTTTATAAAAACAAAAAGTGAAACAATCTAGCTTGCCAACAACCTTCAGGACAGGTTTGTGAGTGTCTAAAACAAATTACACATACACTTGTATACGTGCATTAGTCACCACAAGCACAGCCCTGCCACACACACACCCACATGTTGTGTGGGCCGGGTGGCTCCCTCTGACATCAATTTTGTGAGTTATATTAACCCATGCAACCACTATTGGCCAGGGCAAACCTTGACAAAAAGTAAATACCCTCCAGCTAGTGACTGGATTTTGTTTCAGCTGAGCAAATTGAGTCTTTCACAATAATAAATCATTAACCTTTTAGTCAGCAAGCACGCTGTCCCCGTAACGTTCCGAAAGCCAACTCTGGCCAGACGAGAAGCAAAATCATCCGGGCTAATACCAATGAAATGCCATTCTCAGCCTATATAGTTTTGTTATGCTGCGCAGCAGGGAAGTTGGAGCGCATCCTGCTCTCAGGCCAGATAACACTCGCACTTCCCAGCACTGAATGAGAAGGTGGGAAATCAAAAGCGAACACGAAAAGGACACACTGCACCTACACTACAGTGGACCAACGCATTTTTCCACCTGGCAAATCTCTTGATGGAACAAATGTGGACTCATCGGGAGAGGCTGAGCAGGGCATGGCTTTAAGCAGTGAGTAGTGAGCCTAAACTAATCGAGGTTTTACTCATGAAGACATTAGTGCTATAAACTAAATAAGCTTGCAGGTGGTGCCACTACTTCAACGTGTGTTTCTGTGTTGGTGCAGGACTCCTGCTGCTCTGTATGGTAGCCTCTGAGGTGTGGGATGCTGATACTAAACCCATAGACTTTGTGTGTAATCGAACCGCCAGAAGGGTTTTGAATATTGTGGCAGAAATGGAGAGAGCACTGGTGAGTTTTTCTTTTCTTTTTTACAGTTGACAGATACGCTTTTCCAACGGTCCTCTGTGGCTCTTCCGCCCTGCTGGGCTGATGTATTGTTCTGTTTATCTGTTGTTACCTGAAGTCTCCCATCAGTCGGTCTCTCACCCGCTTGTCTGGCGACTGTCACCTCTTTTCCATGTCTCCTCCTTGGCAGAGTGACTGCAATGCCATCATGACCCTTCCCACACCGGTTCAGCTGCCCTGCACGGAGCTTCATGTAGCATCTTGGGAAAACAAATCAGTACGTTAGCACATGTTTGCATCCAAAATCCTCTACCATAGTGGATTTATTACATGTTTACTATTGATTCTAGTGGTTACTCTTGTTTTAATTATTTGCTCTGAAAACTGTTTTGTCGTCTTTTTCTGTGCATGTGTTACTGCAGTACCAGGAGAGGAGAGGAGACATCATTGCATCCTTGAGGCTTCTTATTGAAGGTGTGAAGGTCATGAGGGCCCTGAGTCAGCCAGGATGTGGCAATTCACTGCTGCAGAGATTGGAGAACAACATCAACAACTACCTGGTCATTCTCACAAACCTTCAGCTGAGTGTAAGAAGCTGTCATGGTCATAATCAGCAGACAAGAGAAAAGCGTTCTTATTAAGCATGGATGTGGTGATTTACAGGTCAAAAAATAAATGTACAGTACATGACAAGATTAAAATAACATTTCAGGATCAATGAAACGTTTAGGTGTCAGACCAAATCAAAGCTAACTGTTCTGTATATGTTATTGTCACTAACACTCAAACAAATTACAACAAACATTGCGGTTGAGGAAAATGTTGTGCAAAGTGACTGAAAACTGTTTTTTATTTGATTCAGAGGTATTGTCAGTTTCCTGAGTCAGTATTGTCCTGATTCCTCATAAACTATGGCACTGGAATATCTGTGCCATGGGACTGATGATGTTATGTTGTTTGACCTCGACACTTCCTTCCTCAGGACAAGAAAAAGATAGCAACGCATACTTTCCCAGTGAGACAGTATTCCCAAAAGTCTTACATGGGCAAGATGGATGTCCTGCAATCAATGTTTTACATAATAACCTCCAATTTGAAAACTTATTTTGCGGATCACGTGGCATCTATGTACTTTTGTCTGTCATAGCCGAGGGATCCCTCACGTTGCTCTCTCTGAGGTTTCTACATTTTTTTTTAGTTTTTCCTTACTTTTGTTGAGGGTTAAGGGCAGAGGATGTGATTTGTGAATATAGGCTATACAAATAAAATTGTATTGATTGATTGCTTTCTATTGTCAAAAATTAGTTTTTACAGCATTAAAGTTTGAACTTTTTATGGTTATGATTTGATGTCAAGCCACCTTTTCACAATTTTGACCACACTCTGTCTGTTCATTTTAAAACATTCTTCATCGTTCTGATTTCTTTTTGGACCAACAGGGGCCAGTGGTGACTCCATCATTGTCTTGTGTTCCTCAGAGGTCGCAGAGTCTGAGCACAGTCCTCCTGAGATACAACCAGCTGATCTCAGGCAAACTGGAGAAGCTCATGATTAATCTGGAAGACAGATGCACTCACAAGTGACACACTAACAACTTTGGTGGACCCATTATTCTTCACAAATGATGGGATGGATTAAACTTGGGAGCCCCAAGTCAATAAATTCCACCAGCGCAAAACAGCAGGATTGATCTGGACTTCCTCCTCACCCTGATACTATTAAATCTTGTTATTGACAGACTCACATTTTAAGGGCAAAAAGCAGAAATGTATCTGCGATGATGAGCATTGTGGACTTATCTGAGGGAGGTATTGTTGTATCATTCTATATAAAGCTAAGGATGTGTTGAATAGAATTTTAGGCATATACGACCAATACAAGCCTACAATCTGCTGAAAGGCAAGTAGCTTTTCTTTTTACATGTAGCTTGGAGGCAGCTTTCCCTTGTCTGCACTGTTTGCAAATGTATTGAAATCCAAATGATTGTTCAATGTTAAGAGAGCAATCTTATGGATTATCACATGGCCAGAACAAAGAAAGTCTCTTGGTATTTTTAGTTCATGTTTTCACGAAAGAGTTGTTTTACTCCTTATAAAATTAGTGATACAATGTGGTTACATTGCTTCATTGCACTTCAATTAATATACATAAAGAAAAAACATCACATCATACTTATCAACAACACTTAATACTTAAGAATAATGAAGACTGGGAAATAATGCTATACTCTACTGGTATGAATTTAATAAGCTGTTGGTTTTTGCCCTTATTGCACTTATAGAACTGTTTATATTTTTATTTTAAACGTGATGATTTGCTGTATATATATGTACATGTTCCTATGTATATTTTTCCGATTCAGCAAATCCACCATAGTTTCTTTGTGAATGTCTGCATGTAAAAAATACGTGTGCAACCCTATATCAATATCAATGTTGTTTATTATGACAAAAACCTTTATGATGTAATATGCAATAAACAATTATGTGTTACACCAATTATGTAATCACACCTATTTAGTGTGTTGGGTGATAAGTTAGATAGAACAGTGTTTTGATTCAAGGTGAGCTAGCTCTTTGCTTCTTTTATTGCTAGCCTGTTAGGTTTCAGCATGTGCTGTTGTTATGCTAATGCTAACAGGTGGGCTTTTAGCTTGAGGCGGATACTAATCAAGTAGTGAGTGACGACACCAGCCAATTGCAGGAAGTGGCGTCATTTTGCAGCTCATTAAACGTCATCAGCTGTACAGGTGAGTCGGACGGAGGTGAATGGCGGTAGCTCGGGAAGCTAACGCTAGCTTGAGCACCGTAGCTCCCAGACAGTAGCCACTAGCTGAAAGAGTTTTAGTTGGAAGCGTCACCGTTAAAGCCGCCATGTCAGAGAAGGCTCCCCTGCTACATTACCGACTCACCGCCAGTGGCCATGAGCCGACAGACGTCTCCAAACACGGCAGAGCCAAGGTGGGCAGGGACGGCAGAGGGTCCGGGGAGAAGCCCGCCCGAAAGCTCGGTGTGCTGTTCGGAGTGGTCACACCGACTCTGCTGTCCATGTTCAGCGTCGTCGTGTTTCTGCGAATAGGTGAGAACGAGGAGGCGACTACTTCAAAACATTTTAACGGGAATAAAAAAAATCTAAATCCAGTTTAAAAAAAAAAAACCTTTTGCTTAATTTACCTCAGGTAAACAAAGCAGATACAAGAGTTTGCTATTAACTCAATTCATGTAGTGCCAAAGGTGAGCCAGTGAATTTAGAGCTGCATCTAAAGCCTAATGCGCATGTTGTTTCCTGTATAAAATCATCATTTAATCTGTTAACTCTTAAAATCCCGGCTCACATTGACAACCCGAAGATGTTCTGTTTAAATCACATTTAAATTCACGAGATCCAGATTTTTAATTGGATCTATGCTAAATTGCACACACTCATAAATATCAATCCTCTATGAATGCATGATTTGTTTTCTAGATCCATGATTCATATCTGAGAAGTGAATCAAATAATTATCTTCTGTAGTTTTTGTAAAAAATTAGCTTTCTTAGCAGGTTATGATTAGTCATTCAACTAATGGTTGCAGCTGATTGGATAAGATACAAATGTGATTTCTAAAAGTTGTAAGCAAATACTTTAACTATTTCTTTGCGAAATGACTGAAGTTATACATTTATTAAATCATCAATTAGAGTTAAAAATAAATCCAGACTCTTTTCTAAACAATGGTAAAGCTACATGCTTCATTACAAATTATAAAAACATGTACTAAATGCATAAATCGCATTATAAATGTAAAATTTCCTCCCTCTGCTTACAGGATTTGTTGTGGGACAAGCAGGGCTCTATCAGTCTATTGCCATGTTCCTGGTGGCCTACTTCATTATCACCATGACTGTGCTCTCTGTGTGTGCCATCTCCACCAATGGGGCTTTAGATGCTGGAGGTGCCTACTGTATCCTTTGTTGAGACTTTGCCTGAATCTTAAAAGCCTCACTTGTGTGTATATCTGTGAATCTGGCTTGGGGTTGATCTTCGTCCATTTATTAAGTGAGATGTGGCGTCCAGTCTTTTTTTCACATTTATGAATCTGGATTCTGGGGAAACTCCTAAACTTGGCTCCCCAGACATGATAAGCCGAGCCCTGGGTCCAGAGTTTGGTGGCAGCATCGGGATCATGTTTTTCTTTGCCAACGTGTGTGGCAGTGCTCTCTATGTTTTGGGTCTGGTTGAGGCTATCATGTCGGTCTTTGGCATCCCAGAAGGTGAGGTCCATCAGACGTAGTGAGACAGTCAGGCATGTAAGTATATTGATGTATTAGATAACCCTGGTTTCTTGTCCTCCCTCAGAGGGTGCTGCAGCTTCTGCAGGGCCACATCAGGTGCTGCCTTCAGGATACTTGTGGTCTGTGCTTTATGGCACTGGCCTGCTCTTTTTGTGTTTCCTTGTCTGCTTGGTGAGCTGTCATTATTTTCATTATACTCAATCTTTGTAAATGCAGATACATTTTTGTCATAAGTATATTTACATATTTGCCACTAATACCTCAATGCATTGTGTTTGTCATCACAGGTGGGAGCCCACATCTATGCCAAGGCCGCCTTTATAATTTTCATCATAGTCACAACAGTCCTTGTGTCCATTTTCATCAGTTTCTTCATCGTTGGGCCTGTTGGAGTGATTTTGCCTGATACCTCTGTTAACAGCACCAGCCTGACAATAGCCAATTTTACTGGATTCCAACTCCACACCTTGCAGAGTAACCTCTTGCGTAAGTGTTGAATATGTTGCTGTTATTGTTTCAAAAGTAATGGCTGCATATTTTACAACAATGTTGGACATTTATAAAAAATATGCAATATCAGCCCGGGTTAGTTGGTTCACAACATTCATCTGTTATCTAATGTGCCGTAGCTTCCTATTTGCACAGCTGAACTCTGACATGTATAAATGATCAAGTCTCCTGTCACTCCCTCCAGCCAATTACACAGTGGACTACACCACTGGTGCCATGATGAGTTTTACCACAGTGTTTGCTGTCATGTTCAATGGTTGCACTGGAATAATGGCAGGCTCCAACATGTCGGGTAAGAGTGTTAATATCTGCAATAGACTGCAACTTTTCCTTAATTCAGCAAAGCCTGTGTTGGTATCTGTACCTCCTCTTCCAATCAGCTGATCTACCCTCCTATAGTCCTTTTCCTCCAAAGTGAACTGAGTGCTAGTGCTGGGATGGTGGTAGTATAGAGGCCAAAACTAAAGATGCGTTCCTGTCTTATTGTACAAAGTCTGCAAATTTTGGTTTAAGGACTTTAAACTGTGATACAAAAATCAAAATGTTGGGTGATGCAGCCCTTCTGGGGAAGATTGGACTTTGACAACTTCAATAAGGTGTCTTTATATA